ACGATAGTAACTAGGTGGGGTCCAGTTCAAAATGATCGAAATGTGGTACTTTTAAAAAAACTATTTTGTTTCACTTTTTCCATTAGAAATCTATATCTAATAGGGAATTTACATTATTCAACTTTCACAGGCGATTAGTTGAATCAAAAGTTGAACGAAAGTACGCAGCCGACCAACTTCATTGAAAGCAATTAGTTGAAAGGCCGTTTACACCAGGCGATTGTGGCCTTCAACTAAAAGTGGCCCGAAAAATCGCCTCATGTAAATTCCCTATAAGGTGTCGAATTTAGAACAGGTTCAGAACTATGGAAAAAGGAATGAAGAATTTAGAACTAGTTCGGAACTATCGAAAAGGGATGCAGCGGGGAGCTTATTTACTTTACATAGATATGAGTTTGGCGGCTTTTTCGTTCAAATACGCTTCCATTCTGCACTTCACAACAAAAGTTTGTGCTAACATTTTAACATCTTGGGACCTTCTGAAATCTAACAGCAAGCACCTCTGCAAACTCAGCTACAGCCAAAGGTATGGTAAACGTACATTTCTTATAATCATTCAAACACACTTAATTCCAAATTGAAAACACATTTCGTTGAAAATAATTTAAATCGCACACACGGAAGAACCAAAAAGATTGAAAAATCATGATACTTTTTTCTTTCGACCGTCGATTTTAGAACTCCAGAAAATTTTTCAACAACGCACAGCGGGAGAAATCACGAAAAGGCTGGCCATATATAGTATAAATTAACCTAGAGGCTTCAAATTTGGAACACAAGCTTCTTTAGTGAATATTAGTTTAAGGTGTTAATATAAACCAAATCCGCCTACAAATGTGCCAATTTCCAACTCAAAGTGTTATATTTGGGCAGATCTAGAAAAGAAACAAAAGGTGATAGAACCTTCCACTGAGGACTAAATTAAAGCTAGAACTTTCGACTACTGTCCCTGAAAATACCATCCCTGCATCTTGACCCAAAGGTCGCCTAAAGTCATTTATCGGACAGTAAAAATTGCTTATAACAAAATTGTTTGTTTCATGATTTGTCTTTATGCAGTGCTTAAGGTAACAAACTGACCTCTCTGAACTTGGCAGGACAACTTTTTCTCAAAGCAAAAATTCCTATCGCATAATTTGCCGTTAATTATCCGTAAATTATCCGTGAAAAGAATAATTTTGCCGCGGACATATTTTAAAAAATATCG